ATCTTTAAATATCAAGAAAGGTTATAGAAGAAAAATAAAACTCATCAAAACCAAGAAAAAAAAGTCAGCAGTAAAAAAAAAGATGTTATAAAGTTCAGAATTACTGATTTTTTAAAACTAAGTTTGTCAACTGGTCTATCATTTGCAAAAGAGGACCAAGAAACTGGTAAAATCTGTTTGTACTAAGTCAGAAATGATATGGAAACATGAAAATTCTGCTATGGAAAAAGAAAAAGTAGTTCCAGGTTCACAGAGCGACCAATTTTTCCTTAAGTATTAACAAAAGCCCTGCCTAGAATTGTCTAAAACCAAACTCTCTCATACCAATATTTTGTTCAAAGAAACCCCAAGATACACTTCTCCTATTTCCAGATCTTCTGTATGTCAGCTGTACTACTACGTAAACTTTCTGGAAAGGTGATCTGAATAGACATGCTAGTCCTGTGGTTTCCAAATTATGTGCCAAGGTCCCTCAGGGTACTATACAGGGCTGCCACAGGATATTTTAAATTTGAGAGGAATTCAGTGATACTCAATCTCAGTCACGACACCAAGTGGTTCAGTTTCAACAGCAGATTGCACTACATCCCTCTCCATTAAGTTTCATTTTTTGCAAAGCTGGATTTTGGTGGTTTCTATGATTAAAAAAAAAAAAAGGCACCCACAAAAAAAATCAATGGGGAACAGGAATTTAACTCAAAGCATCCAATCTGATTTCAAGGTGGAAGAAGTTACACAGTGCCCAAAAGGCACACTTTCCAATAGTAATTATGGTCATACAAGAAACTATGTTTTTCTTTCAATTTACGTGTTCTAGTTTTACCAAGAGCACTGGGGCCATTAAGACAAAATACTTAAGTTGTTGGGACCCAACTAACTAAGAAATGGAACTGTTAGCTTACTCCTTTTGGCCTAGCAGCACCATTAAAACAAACAAAAAACTACTAAGACACCAAGGGAGTGAACCAAGAACTTTCATGAACCTCTGTGCTAGTTCCTTTACTTGGTAATTTGCACTCTAATACATAAAGGTGAAAGCTGTTCTCAAAGATACTATTCCTCCCCTAAAACTTAGTGCCTTTCTTTCAAGCAACTCTATGACCTTCCCACTTTTCAACTTTTGTGCATACATCCTTTTAACATCCCCAAAGCAGACAAAATAATTTTTCTTCATACATACAAAACTCAAACAAGGTCAATCTCTCATTGCCTCCATTACAAGCAAATTTCAGAGCCTCAGGGCTTTGTTACTATGTGTCAAGAAGTAGCTAGGGGCCAGCCCCATGGCTGAGTGGTTAAGTTCTCCCGCTCTGCTTCAGCGGCCCAGGGTTTTGCCAGTTCAAATCCTGGGCACAGACAGGGCAATGCTCATCAAGCCATACTGCGGCCGCATCCCACATGCCACAACTAGAAGGACCCACAACTAAAAGTACACAACTATGTACCAGGGGGCTTTGGGAGAAAAAAGAAAAACAAAATCTTAAAAAAAAAAGTAGTAGCACAGGTTTTAACAAAAGCAGTAGTTTAGATAAATAAAACTGAACTACAGAGATACGGTTATTTATTTGAAAATTAAAGCACCACTTGAAATTAGTCTTTTTTTTTTTTTGAGGACGATTAGCCCTGAGCTAACTTCTGCCAGTCCTCCTCATTTTTGCTGAGGAAGCCTGGCCCTGAGCTAACATCCGTGCCCATCTTCCTCTACTTTATATGTGGGACGCCTACCACAGCACGGCGTGCCAAGTGGTGCCGTGTCCGCACCCGGGATCCCAACCGGAGAACCCCGGGAAGCTGAGAAGCGGAACGTGCGAATTTAACCGCTGCACCACCGGGCCGGCCCTAGTCTCCCTTTTTGTAAAATGGAAAAAATAAGACTTCTGCCAGAAATCCTCGGTTTCAATCCTATTTGAGACAGCCTCTTATGTTAGTCGATGCTGTGTGAATTGATAGTTGAAAAACTAGATCCTAGACCTTAATAATACTAAAAATTTTAGAAACTCCTGTCTGTAACTTAGATCCTCTCAGTACACAAAGATAACTAAACATGCCGAGTCGGAAATGGCCCCAACATTAACTTTTTGGCAATAAACTATGGCTACATGTGAAGATCAACTATTGCACAGAAAATCCACAACAGCACATTTGATTTGACTTTGGGACACAACATGGAGGACGGTATACTACCGGTTTAAAGTACTGGCATCTTCCTGGAAAATGAAAACTTCAAAGGTGTTCTGGAGAAATGGGGAAATGAGGCTCAATTTAAAATCTATCACTGCCACTCCATACAGTAAATTACAGAAAGTTTACTACAACACACTTTGTATTTCTGTAGCAAACTACACTAGATGCAACAATTCTTAGTTTAAGAACTCAGATAAAATAGGATCTTAAGCGTTTAAGAGCTAGGTTGATTCTAAACAGTTGATATTACAAAGGTATTGTTTCCTGGGAAGTGACGATCACTAACCACCTAAGATCACAAAATGATATAGCTTCTAGAAGATTTCAAAAGTGACAAAATACAATTAAACAGGAGAATCTTATTAACAACGCATACTGGTCTGCACTCCAGTGATTTGTCACTTCCAGTTTCTACTGCCTTCTAGTTAAAGTCTAACCAGGCATAGAAAAAAAGAAAATCCAGTTGCCAGGTTACAGTGGTTAGGAAATCAACACCGAACAAAGACCATCATCCGTTACTTTTCCCTAACTTTTAGAAGTTAACAATATACCACACGCTCACTATTACAATTTGTTTTGGACACAAACACTGATTTTATTTTGGGGTCTCAATCCTACAAAGCTGAGTGATGGCAAAGTAATTAAGATTTTAACCAATGTTAGAAATAGTCACAATACGTTTCTGGGCAATTTATTAATTTAAGTACAGGACACCAAGAAGAATGACTTCAACTAGCTTAAAACTAAATAAAAAATTTTACTTTATATCCATTGTTAGCAGGTCCAACTTAGAACCAACTACAATCCTTAATTTAAAAAAAAGCAAAGGAGCACCCCTGCAGAGGATTTAGGCAGGTCTTAAACAGGGAAGAGGGGTCCTAAAATCCCAGCTTTGTCCAAGGTAGGCGAAAGGCTGAGCTTTTACGTAAGCTGCTAGACAAAATTAAAAGCACGATTAAAAGAAATTTACTTAGGAAATCACTACTAAAAAACATTCAAAGGAGAAAAAACAAACCCTAAAACCCTTAAAATATCCAGCATGTCTTTGTCCACATCTAAAAAAATATTTATAGGAGACATCAACGAAACAAACCCCTATCAGCCAAATTCTTCCTAGGACTATATGACCGATTAAAAATTCTTCCCAGTTCAAATAACTGGCTCATAATATTCTTGTAAATTCATTCATTAGTTCAATAAAATCCCCTAAAGAATTTGCAAGATGGCATATATTGAATATTTTAAAGAGGATCAGATTTATCTGGTGTCTTCAAAACACTCATTTTGAAAGTAACATTCTTTTACTTAGAGACAGACTGCTTTTTGGAATATTCAGTCACACTTTTCACCTTTTAATCTATCTACATAACTTAACGTTCCTCACGTTTTATGTGACCTCCCTTAAGTGTTTCTATTTCAAACCAAATTAAACATTATTTCTTCGTGAAAAGATATTTTGTTTGGCTTCATTCATCTATCAAATGTTGGTAATGCTTCATTTTCTTCTCAGATACTTTAAGACCGACAATCCTGCTGCATTATTTGGAGGAGAGCTTTCAAAGGGAAAATCAAAACTGTTTTACATAAATTAAAATCTTCTACCTAGGTATCACTTTTGGGGGGAAAAATCCTTCCAAAATTCTACTATAACCCCTTTACAGTAATAACGCGTCCTTCTCGAGGCTTGTTCTCCGTCATCAATTGGCTGTAGCGTATCCTTTACTTCACCACTTAGATTTCTAGCCGAATATATTCACCGCTAATGTTATTAATTCAATCCTTGAAAGTGCATTACTTGTTTTAGGAACAAAAACTGTTCCCCTTCAATTGCTCTCCATACGTAACTTTTAGAGAGCAGTTAGCACCAAAAAACTATAAAACCGGCAGCTTTCCTGAGAAGAAAGTAAGGCCTGGAAGTGGCAGTGCTAAGGATTCGTATTCGGTTAAAATCAACAAGGTTTTCCTTTATCTCAATAAAACTAAGATCGCTAAACAATCTGCGGTCACCTCCACGTAACCAAATGTAAGCTCTTTAAGACGGCAAGAAGGCAATCACATACCTATTTTACCCTTAAACTAGCATAGGATAAGGAAACCTCGTCAGAAGTTTCACACAGAACACAGAAAATGTCCACAAGTATCCTTCCACTCGACACGTGCACGGCCACCTGCTCACGGTAGCTCCTCGCTGCCAGGGACACCGCTGGGTTTTGGCAACCTTCACTCCCTTCAAGGGACTGGAGTTAGGGGGAGACCTGGAAAGACCCTCGCTCGAGAAATCACGACCCCCGAGCGGGAAGGAAGCGGTGGCGCCGGCGCGGCCTCCTCCAGGTGCCTAGCAGTCCCTGTCGCTCTCGGCGGAGGCCGCGCGCGCCCCCGAGGAGCACCCCCAGCTTCTGGGAGCACCCACCACAGGTGCGCTTGGCCCGCGGCCTGGCCCCGGCGCCACAGCGCGGCCGGACCGCACGGCCCAGGACGCAGAGCGGCAACCCACGAGGGCCCACGCCTCCAGGGCGCCCGCATGGCGCGGAGCTCGCGGGAGACGGAGGCCTGAGACTAGTGAGGGAGAGCAGGGACAACGCGCACTGCCCGCGGGGGAAGCGGCCGTCTGGAGGAAAAATGTCCTCCACCCGCCAACAGTAACCGGAACAGGGATCCTGGACCTCCCACCCCCAGGCAAGAACGACCGCCACCACCGAGGGGAGAGCGCCGAGGGGGCCGGGAGCGGGGGAGGGGGAGGCGGCTTCCCGACAGCCCCCAGCACGGCCTCGGCCTCCCTCTGGGGCGACCTTCCCTCGGCCGAGTGGCGCACTCACATCGTGAACGGGGCAGGGGGACGGGCGCACGGGTGGGCGGGCCTCTCGGCGGCAGCTGCTGGGCAGTCGACTCTTCTCCGTTGGCGACTCCGGCGTCTCCTGCCCGGTCGCGGCCTCTTCTCGGTTCCCTGAGGCGACGGCGACGGCGGCGGGCTCGATCAGGGTCCCCAGAATGCACCGCGCGGAGAGAGCGGCTCCTCCGGTCGGGGAGAGGAGGAAAGTGTAGGAAAAGGGGCGCGAGGACGGAGAATGAACGTGCGTGCGTGCGAGCGAGGGGTGGTGAGGCCGGGCGGCGGCTGGTGACGCAGCAAAATGCCCGGGCCCGGCCGCCGCGCGTGCGCACTCTTTGTTTTCGGGCTCCTGCGCGGCTTTCTAGAGATATCTACGGAAAGGGCGGGGCCTCCCAGCTCCTTCGCGATCCTTCCCGGCGCTGGCCCCGCCTCTCGTCCGCTCCCTCCGGCGCGACGCGTTCCCGCCTCTGCTCCCGCGCTCCCCCCTCGCGGCAGAAGACCGTTGGCCGCCTAACCGCTTGGCCGCACGCCTTGGGCGGTCGCCCGGGTGACGGCTGAGGCGGAGAGCCGCGGAGTCGGGAGGCTGGGAAAGGGGGGCCTGGGTCCTCTGGAGGAAGTAAACCAGCCCAGTGAGGAAACGGTGCACCGCAAAAAGATGCGAAAAGCGGTGCAGGTGATAGTTGCGGAAAAGGGCCAACTTCAGAATCCAGGGCCTGGGTCCACCTCGCCGTTGTTCTGAAGGTTGGAGGCCGTGTCCAGGGCCAGCGGAAGGTTGAGGTCCTCGGCTGAGGGGGAACGTTTGCCCTTGGGGCGGGCATTTTCCTCTTCTCTGAGGTATTAGTGCAGTAGGTGAGACAGGAGGGTCATGTGCCTGGAGGGGCTGGGCCGCTCGGTCGGTGTCTCCGGGCACATCGGTTGGGGAGGGGTCCCCCGTATGTTTCACCTTCTCTGTGGCACTGGCGCTTGGTGCAGGTACTGGGTTAGGGTCTACTGGGACAGGGTAACCAAGAGAATCAGGAGTACTTGCCCACTCTAGGAGGCCGCTGACCAGCGGAGCAAGGGAGAAGGACGCCCATGCACCGCCACCTGGGACCCAGGAGGTGTAAGGAAAGTGCCCTGAGACGTTTTGGAAAGAGTGCTTGGGGGCTTCTCATTCGGCATCAAGGACTTCGTGTCGATGCCGGGCGAGGCGGGTGTTGGGAACTACGACACTGGACCCTACGCTCAAATCCCGTGAAAGAGGAAGGTTAAATCTCAGCTCTCCAATACCGGGATTCCAAGGAGCCTACTGCCTGTTGGGGAAAATAAAATTCGCAAATCAAGATAATTGAGTGCTGTAAAAGAAGTCCGAAAATAATGGGAGCGTAAGAGGAGGAGAGGTCGATATTGACTGGAAAAATTAGGATAGGCCTTGTTAGAAATTACCCAAAACGTGAAACTAAGGCAAGGAGTGGAGGGATGGCCTTTCAGTTCATACTGGGACATGGTTTAATCTGCCTCCCCAAGGATTATTCTCTAGGAGAGGGTGCCTGTATTTGACTTTGCTGTTTATTATATGATTAGAGCTCAAACATTGTGCAGTTACTTGCAACCTTGTAGATTTCTGACTGATAGAAAAGCTGACCCCCAAGTTACGGTTTTATTGCTGTGTAGGGCACTATCTTTATTTAACATTCAACCTAATTCTGATTCTTTTTATTTTTATGCTTCTAAATACCTAGCTCCTTAAAGACGCCTCGAACCAGGTTTACCATCTTACTGGTTCCGTCAGTGAGTTAAATAAATTTTTGGCTCATGTTAATTTTATATTTGTGAGAGAATCATGTTTTTAAGTTTTTTGAAGATGCTACCTTGACAGCCTGATGGAGGTGACAGCAGGAATGAACGGGAGTAGTCCGTTCCAGGCAGGACTCTTGGTAGGTGAAGAGAGAGAAACAGAAATATCTAGATCAGGGGTTGGCAGACTTTCTGTAAAGGGTCAGATAAGGCCATAAGGTCTCTATTGCAGCTTCTGAACTCTGCTATTGTAGCATGAAATCAACCATAGAAAATATGTAAAAAATGAGAGTGGCTGTGTTCAAATAAACCAACAACAACAAAGAATGCTGACACTTGAATTTCTTATGTTTATATGTCACAAGATATTCTTTTCCAACCTTTTAAAAATGTAGAAATGTCAACCATTAGCTGGTGGGGAACCAAAGTTGTACCAGGTTCCTTTTTCAACTTCACTAACAAGTTCTCTTTGTAGATTCGAACGTGTATAGTTATGGTGTCAGGGTTTTTGGGAGAGAAATCTGGAATACAAATTGGCAGAAACTAGAAAATACTTGGCAAGTGTTAGATGCCCAATTCACAAGTTTGATCCTAACAGTCTCCTAAGAGAAAGGTAATTCCCAGGCCAACTTAAAAAATTACTGAGGGGCTGCCTGGTGGCACAGCGGTTAAGTGCGCACGTTCTGCTTCGGTGGCCTGGAGTTCGCCGGTTTGGATCCTGGGTACAAACATGGCACTGCTTGGCATGCCATGCTTTGGCCCATGGGCTAGGAATTATGAATGCCCCTCTAAAAGCTTGGAGGTTCCTGAGAAGTCAAGAGGGACTCAGATTTGTGCACTTTAATACAAATTCTTATATATATAAAAAAAGAGAGTCAGTATTCTCAGGATAACAGCAGCCCCCCTGCAAGTCTGCCTACTGACCTCTGTCAGCAGAGGTCAAGTGGGAACCCGAGAACTCTGCATGTCCTCGCAAGAGTCTTCACTCTTCTCACATATAAAGTAGAGGAAGATGGGTACGGATGTTAGCTTAGGGCCAGTCTTCCTCAACAAAAAGAGGAGGATTGGCTGCAGGTGTTAGCTCAGGGCTAATGTTCCTCAAAAAAAAAAAAAAAATTAGTGAAATGAATCCAGAAACAATTTGTAAATTATAATTGTGGCATCCACCTCCCTGATATTTTTGTGAGGACTGAATGTGTCCAGTATGTGTCCAGTCACTAATAGCAGAAGAGAACTTATAGATTGATGTGTGCAATTAAAAGATTTTTTAAAAAATAACAGGTGAGAACAGTCCAGTTTTATGAGAGGATTTTCTAATAACTTACGGGTTGTTAATTTTGTATTTGTAAGGCAAATAAAGGGAATGGGGGCAAAGATTACTGCTTCTAGGTGTAGGGAATAAGAAATTAGTCATAAAGTTTAAGGGAAACGTGACCTAGCTAAGTGTTAACATCATGTATAGCAACTTAAATTACATCATGTTCTCTGATGCCAATTTAAAGGCATACCCGATGAGTCTGGTTTGGCAATAATGGAAAGGGTTAAAAACAACTGTGTCTTGTACTGAGCTTTTTCATATTCTGAGTTTTGCTACCAGTGTCTTAACTGTGGGCCGATAAAAGCATGAACAGCTCTAGATTAAAGAAGAGCCCTTAAAAAGCTAACTTACATTTTTTTTAAAAGATTTTATTTTTCCTTTTTCTCCCCAAAGCCCCCTGGTACATAGTTGTGTATTTGTAGTTGTGGGTCCTTCTAGGTGTGGCATGTGGGATGCTACCTCAGCGTAGCTTGATGAGTGGTGCCACGTCCGTGCCCAGAATTGGAACCAGTGAAACCCTGGGCTCCCAAATTGGGAGCGCATCAACTTAACCACTCGGCCACGGGGCCGGCCCCTAACTTACATTTTTTAATGAAATACATTGAAATCTTCTAAAAATGGTCTTCTACCCAAAACATCACCTCATATATACCTGGAGTTCATAATGTAGAAAATAAGACCATAAAAAGAGTGATATATGCTTATTTCTATGTAAATTAACAGTAGTCTCTGGGATAAGAAGAAATCAGGTAGTAAAGTTTTCTTTTAATTTCATGGTCTTCATGAAAGAATGTATTACAGTTCTTGGGTAACTCTGTTTGACGTAAGTAAATACTTCATTGTGTTCTTTCCACTACATAAGGTAGGAAGTGACCAAAGGAAGGTTACATATACATTCAGAAACTACATTTTGAAGGAATATTAACATCATTCTGTTGGGCACCTTGCAGGATACTATATAATGGGATAAAGGAGAAATAGGATTAGTTTCCAAGTTAAGGGGGCCTTCTTTTTTCCCAATTTTTTAGTTGTTCACCTGAGTTTTTTTCCTTTGGTAAGGGAGATTGGCCCTGAGCTATCGTCTGTTGCTAATCTCCCTTTTTTTTTTGCTTGAGGAAGATTCCCCCTGAGCTAACATCTGTGCCAGACTTTCCTCTATTTTGTATATGGTTCACCGCCACAGCATAGCTTGATGAGTGGTATAGGTCCGAACCCGTGAACCCAGGCCACCAAAGCAGAGTGTGCTGAACTTAACCACTATGCCAGCCCCTGAAATTCTTTTAGTGCTCTCTTTTCTGGGAAATAGGGCTCTGTAATATCATTTGGGGGAAAGTAAGAGAAGACCAAGTGCTAGAGATTCATTAAAAAAAATTTGGAATTTAGAGCCGACCATGTGCCTGATACTGCAAAGCAATATTGTTCCTGACCTCAAAAGTTGTTGGAAAGGTAAATAAGTAAATAGGTAAATTATAATGCATTGTGATGAGTCCTATATGAGAGCTGTAAACAGAGTAGAGTACTGTGGGAACAGCAACCTGAAGAACTAAGTAGGGGAGTCTGAGAAAGTATCAAAGAATGGTAATGATTGAGAGCTGAGTTTCAAAGGCTGAATAAATTGTTCCCAGACCAATGGTGAGAATCAGAAGAGGGTATTCCAGTCAGAAAATATAGCATATGTTGGGGGCTGGCCCCGTGGCCGAGTAGTTAAGTTCGCGCGCTCTGCTGCAGGCGGCCCAGTGTTTTGTTGGTTCGAATCCTGGGGGCAGACATGGCACTGCTCATCAAACCACGCTGAGGCAGCGTCCCACATGCCACAACTAGAAGGACCCACAACAAAGAATATACAACTATGTACCAGGGAGCTTTGGGGAGAAAAAATAAAATCTTTAAAAAAAAAAAAAGAAAGAAAATATAGCATATGTAAAGCAGAGGCAATGGAATTATAAGGGATCTGTGCAAAATTCAATGTGGCTGGAGCTTAGGAGAGACTATAGGTGAAGGAGAGTGGTGAGAGAGAAGGCTGGAGAAATGGGTTCAGGATAGATTGTGAAGAACCCTATATGCCTGCTTAAGGAGTTGGAACTTAATTCTATTGGCAACAAAGATAAGTTTTTAGTGGGACTGATGCTTTACTGTGACTGGACAAGTTTCTTGAGTGTACAAACTGGTATCATATTTGTCTTTCCAGTGCCAGACGTATAGTCGGTGCTCAAAGAAT